ATAATAATAATAATAATAGTAATAATAATAATAATAACAATAACAACAACAATAATAATAATAATAATAATAATAATGAATATGATTATGAAATACTGAATGTTATATATATATATATATATATATATATATATATATATATATATTTGTTTATTTATTTATTTATTTATTTATATTTATATTTATATACATGTATATGTGTGTGTGTGAGAGAGAGAGAGAGAGAGAGAATAACAACAACAATAATAATAATAATAATAATAATAATAATAATAATAATAATAATTATTATTATTATTATTATTATTATTATTATTATTATTATTATTATTATTATTATTATTATAATAGAAATACATATTTATATTTATATTTATTTTCCCACTTATCCCACATCGGTTGGAGAAGTAAGGAATGGAGATAGGAGCCTAAAGGCTCTATAATTTCAATTGCAATGCTCATCCGCTAGGCAAGCTTGCAATGCCCATTCGCTAGGCATGCCGATAAGTAGGCTACTTAATTTAGGAGCCAAGACTCCATAATTAAGGAGTCTTATACAGTTAATTTTTTTTTTATTTACATATACATATATATATATATATATATATATATATATATATATATATATATATATATATATATATATATAGGGTCAGGTTCCTGTGAGGTCAGGTCTTCTCGTGCAGTCAGTGCGGCATACACCATTATGTATGCATAAATGCACCACACAGTGTTCATAAATACACCATTATGTGTGGTGTATTTTTTTTGTGGTGTATTTTTTGGCATTTCATTCTGGTGTATTTTCGAACACTGTATGGTGCATTTATGCATACCTAATGGTGTATGCCGCACTGACCGCACGGGAAGACCTGATCTCATAGGAACCAAAATCTATATATATATATATATATATATATATATATATATATATATATATATATATATATATACTAGTTTTTTACGCGCATTGCGCGATTGGGATAATGCCCAATGATCTCATAGGAACCAAAATCTATATATATATATATATATATATATATATATATATATATATATATATATATATATATATATATATATATATATACTAGTTTTTTACGCGCATTGCGCGATTGGGATAATGCCCAATGTTTTTCTTAAATAAGTATTTTAAAATATATCAAAACAAGATTATATTAGAATTATTCATGCATAGATAATTGAATGTTGAATTTGCGTATTTAAATTGGTAATTCTAAGTTTACAAATGTAAGATAATATAGTCGAGATGGATTATAATTGTCAATAAAATAATTGTATGGGTATGATTGAAACTAAATACGGGATATAAGGGAGAGCAAATAAAAATTAAAGAATAAAATATTAAATATATACTAATATTGTTTGAGGAGATTCCGGCAGTAGGAGCGTTATGCTGTGAGCACGTGCCCACCTTGCAAGGTGGACACGGTTCCATATCCATAATTTCTATACTGTAGATTCATAATTTTTATACTGTAGATCCATAATTTCTATACTTTAGATTCATAATTTCTAAACCGTAGATTCATAATTTATGTACTGTAAATTCATAATTTCTAAACTGTATAGTTATCAATTATGAACATATAGTTCTCTGATTTGTGAAAACAGAGTTCAATAATTGGAATATAAAGTATAAATTTTATGAATCTACAGTATAGAAATTATGGATCTACAGTATAGAAATTATGAATCTATAGTATAGAAATTATGGATATGGAACCGTGCCCACCTTGCAAGGTGGGCACGTGCTCACGCCATAATTTGCCGGATTTGTGGTTAGAGTTTTATTAAGACTTTAATATTATAATTAGATTAATGTTGTAGTTATAATTCTAAATTAGACTTTAATATTAGAATTAGACTAACGGTGAATTAACAGAACTTAATGGAAAAGTTAACGGATCGAATAATCATATAATTAAGGATAAATTAAGAAATCTCAAGTAAAAATAAAAATATGAACAATTCATTTGATTTAATAATTTTTTTTATTACAAAGAAATGGGATGCCCATATATACTATCTATGCCTACACTGATGCTTGGACCCTAGACCTCCCACATAGGGGAGCAACCGGATACCAGTGGACCACAAGGTCCTTGGTATTTGATTTAATAATTTGACGGTCATTTTTTCTACCCAATGTTTATAATTAAATAAATATTTGAAATTATATCAATGTAAGATTATATATGAGAAGTTCAACATAAGTAATTTAATGTCTAATTTGTTTATTTAAATATGTAATTCATAGTATATGAATACAATGTAATATAGGAGATTCATTATAATTATTACTAAACCTTTTTTAAATAGGAACCAAGTATTTTTGTTGCAAATGGTTCTAATATATATATATTTAATGAATGCGCATATATACAAGATCAATGAATGACTCAACGGTACTATTCCTTTAGGTGTTTTGCTTAGTGTTCATTTAGTTCAACCATTATTGTTGAATAAATTATTATGGATAAAGAAGTTCCTAATTTAAGGAATTTAGATGCGTAGTAAAAATTTAAAATTTTTAATTAGGGAAAATGGCACTTTTTACCCCTGAGTTATATACTTATAGCACTTTTTCGCCCTCAATTATTTAGGTAAGCACATTAGCCCCCTCAATTATTCTAAAAGTGGTGCATTTTCCCCCTAATATATTAAATTGACATTTATACCCTTAAAGTAAACATTTTATTTATTTTATTACTCCAACTAATTATTGCGTATAAGTAGGGATGACCACGGTTCGGTTTGAATTGAACCGGATACTAAAGCAATCGAATTAATAGTTTACGGTTATAATTCAGATCTAGAACCCAATATTTAAATGTCAATTTATTAAAATTATGTATCAAAAAAATTGAATCTTGAACCGTGAACCGGCGGTTCCGGATTTGATTCGCGATTTTGAACCGTCTTTATTTTAAAATTATATTTTTTATTTTAAAATAGTCTAAATTCAACAATAAATGTATTTTATTTTTTCAGTTCATTCGGAACATGAACCGTCTGTTCCGGTTCACGATTTTAATAAACTCTAAATATCGAATTTCGATTCTAAATTGTAATTGAAATATTTCGGTTTGGTTGCTATAGTATTTGTTTAGTTTGAACCAAATTATGGTCATAATTTGTTGGAAAAAAAATAAATTAAATATTTAGTTTAAGGGTAAATATGTCCATTTAACATTTCAGGGGGAAAAAACAGTCACTTCAATAATTTAAGGGGAAAAAATGCTATAGATATATAACTCAGGGGGAAAAAGTGTCATTTTCCCTTTTAATTATAATGTAACCCAAAGATATTTGACTATTGATAAATATAATGTAATCCAAAGATCAAAATGCTAAAGAAAGTGTTTTGGTTATTCAATAGTTTGAAGCAATAATTTGTTCCAAATCACTGAAAATACAAATATTACAATTTACAATATTTTCACTTAGCGTTTTTGAGAATGATTTCCCCAAAACACATCTATATTGTTTAAAAAATTATTATTAAAACAATTATTATTATTATTATTATTATTATTATTATTATTATTATTATTATTATTATTATTATTATTATTATTATTATTATTATTATTATACCCTTAGGTCATTTTAAATGTTAATTTGAATAGCTAATTTTTTCAAATATCTTTTTACCAACCGTTGATATAATTCGCTGGTCAAATCCGCTAACGCTAACCGCTAACTGCTGATTGTCAAACAAGGACATTGCGAGGTAGTTTCTCACTTCAATTTATTGTGTGATTTGAATACTCTCTTTGTCAACAAATCCGTCAAGTAGTTAATATGATTGACTTTATTAATTTAAATTTTTTCATGGTATTAATAAAATACTTGGTAAATAAATATATAGCATTATTTTGTATTATAACTTTGATATTTAATTAAAAAATAGTGCACAAAAAAAGATAATAGACAATGTAGTGAATATAATCAACTGATAAATTTGAATGTAAAGAATTTTTACATTGGAGAAAAATAAAGACAATATACTAATGAAATTATTTCTCTTAATTAATTTATTGATAATGAATAAATTTTTTTTTTAATAAAGACATTGTAGGGACAATGTAGCGAATATAATCAATTGATGAATTTGAATTTTGAATGTAAAGAATTTTTATATTGGAGAAAAATAAAGACAATATAAGTAATGAAATTATTTCTCTTATTTAACTTATTGATAATGAATAGTTTATTTGAATAAAGGTATTGTAGACACATAATTCTAAATTAAAGAAATGCATATGCATTATTTTTTGTTGTAGCTACTAAATTATTATTTAATTTAATAAGAGTAAAATAGAGTACTAATTATGCCAACTTTGATTGTAATGAGGTTCGAACCTAAGACCTTTCTTAATGAAATCAATGAGTAAGTTAACGGTGAACTAACAAAAATTAACGAAAAAGATAATATTTAACGGAAAAGTTAACGGATAATCATATTCATTAAGGATAAATTAGGAAATCTCAACGAAAAATTAAAATCTGATCAATCTGAACCATTCATTTGATTAAAAAATTTGACCGCCATTTTTTCTACCAATTATAGGCCTAACTCTCTTGGGCTCTTATTAGTATAGTAGATAGTATATATATATATATATATATATATATATATATATATATATATATATATATATATATATATATATATATATATATATATATATAGTGAAAGGTTCCCGTGCGGTTGAATGTTTCCCGTGCGGTTGTGCGGTTATTAATGTGCGTGAGATTTGTACTCAATGTGCGTGAGTGTTGTGTCTAATGTGCCTGAGATTTGTACTTAATGTGCGTGAATGTGTAAAATGCAGCAGAAAATATGGATATCAGCTTCTTCTTCCCCATCCCCAGTACCTGCACTCTGTGAGTTGCTTTAGAATAACTTCGATTATTGGGTTGCTCATAATGTGGTATAGAATATCCTGGCATGTGCTTATTCGACATCTGAGATGGTTGCTGATGCTCTTTTTGTTCTATCCAAGATGAAAGATTTGAATCTTCAAGTTTCAATAACGACATATAATAGTGTGTTGCTCTGCTTTACTGATGTTTACAATGAAATAAAAGCTTCCCAAAGTAAATACATAAATCCTATCCTTATCAATGGTCTATGCAGACCAATCTTGGTGCGAGAATCTGGAACTTCTGTTGTTTGCTTCAATTCCAGATTGTTGAAATTCTCTTATTACTCACGCACATTAAGCACAAATCTCACGCATATTAAGCACAATACTCTGACACATTAAGTACAAAACTCACGCATATTAACATGACGCACATTAAGTACAAATCTCTAGCATACTGAGCATAACACTCACGCACATTAAGTATAAACCTCACGCACATTAATCCACCGCACAACCGCACGGGAAGCAACAAATGTACCTGATCCCTTCCATATATATATATATATATATATATATATATATATATATATATATATATATATATATATATATATATATATATATATATATATATATATACACACACACACACACACACACACACATTTTGCAGCGTTTGCAATTGGCATTTTGGAAATATATATATGTGTGTGTGTGTGTGTGTGTGTGTGTGTGTCTGTGTGCGCGTCTATATATATATATATATATATATATATATATATATATATATATATATATATATATATATATATATATATACACACACACACACACACACAAATAATTTATTTAAATATATATATTTATTGATAGATAAAAATTATAATTTAATTAAATATATACATTTATATAATACATTATATTTATTAAATAAATATAAATATTATTTAATGTGCAAAGGGTATTTTTGGTATTTGTGATATAAAAGCTATTCCCAAGGGCACGGGAATAGCTAATACCAAGGCCCACCCTAGGAATGGCTATTCCCCTTGCGAAGGTAATAGCTCATTTCTAGGCATGTTATTCGCATGACAAAATGATAACGATGGAATAGGTCTATTCCAAGGAATGTTATTCCATTCCTGACCTATTCCATGAACCAAACATACCAGTAGAGATTAAGAAAGGATTTGGGTTCTGATTTCCTTGAGATTTGTTTATGGGGATCGATTGAGAGGTGGATTTTGCTGACAGGCTCTAGGAGAGGATTATGTGGGGAGGTTTAGGTTGGGTGGATGTTTATTATGGGTAGGAGTTTATGGGTGGAAGTTTGATTCCCAATTAAACTCTGATTTTCCTCCTTTCCTCCTGAAACATCTCATTAGTAGCAAAAATCATCCATAAATAAACAATCACACATATATTAAATATATTAATCATACATACGGTAATTTCCAATCAAAATAAGCACATTTTAGAAATTAACAAAATTATCACACATTTTCCAAATAAATGTTTAGAAACATCTTCATATAATTTGCACACAAATCAGATTCTAAACATTTTAGAAACTAACAAAAAAAAAAAATTAACTTTCAGCACATATTTCTAAAACATTTTTATAGCAAATTATATCACATAAATCACATATGCACGAAACACATATATTACACATTAAATTAGATTTTTAGGCAAATTGTTCATGCAAACAGATTAATCAATTTATACACACATGAACAAATATTCGCACACTAAATAACACATTGAATCATACAATTTTAAACAAATTGTCAAATAATCACGAATTGCACATTTTATCAAATTAATTTGCATGGCATATGATTTCACGTTAAATAACACATGCAAATACACAAATAAATTTTTAACACATATTGCAATTTTATCACACAAAAATTTCGAATAAATATATGCATATAATCACGTAAAACAATTTATTTTGAGCACAGGTATCAATTAAATTGAGAGATTAAGTCCAGTGATACTTAGCTCATTTCGATCATTCTCAACTCGTGCCTTAAGGTAGAAAATCTCGTTTCGCATAAAGGCTTCATGAGAATATCAGCAACTTGGTTTTCCGTAGGGATATATTCGATCTTGAGATTTTTCTTTTCAACGTGATCCCTAATGAAATTATGTCGAATGTCGATATGTTTGGTTATTGAGTGAAGCACCGGATTGTGAGTGATAGCGATTGTACTAGTATTATCACAATAAATACTAACGTCATCACAATTAACTCCGTAATCCTTCAATTGTTGCTTCATCCACAAAATTTGCACACAACAACTTCCTGCAGCAATATATTCGGCCTCGGCGGTACTAGTTGCGATGGAATTTTGCTTTTTGCTAAACAAAGAAACAAGCCTTCCCCCAAAGAACTGGCATGTCCCGGAAGTGTTTTTTCTGTCTATTTTGCAACCTGCAAAATCCGCATCTGAAAAACCCGTTAGAGTAAAATCTGTACCTTTTGGATACCACAATCCAACATTGATTGTGTCTTTCAGATATCGTATGATCTTCTTTGTTGCAGTGAGGTGGCTTTCTTTTGGATTTGCTTGGAATCTTGCACACACTCCCACAGCATAAGAAATGTTCGGCCTGCTTGCAGTAAGATATTCAAGAGAACCAATCATTCCTCTATATTTTGTTTGATCGACATCCTTTCCATCTTCATCTTTGTCTAGCCTTAATGATGTGCTCATTGGAATCTTGATCGATGATTTTCAATCAAGGCCAAACTTCTTTATCAAGTCGCGAGTGTACTTTGCTTGATTGATGAATATTCATTCTTTCAGTTGTTTGACTTGTAAACCCAAGAAGTAATTCAATTCACCCATCATGCTCATTTCAAACTTGTTCTACATAAGCTTTGGAAATTTCTCACACAAAGAATTGTTAGTGCTTCCAAAAATAATATCATCAATATAGATTTGCACTAATAAAATATGATCACCATCTTGAATTCTAAATGGAGTTTTATCAACAAGGCCTTTGGTGAATCCACTGCTTATCAAGAACATTGACAAAGTATCATACCAAGCTCTAGATGCTTGTTTCAACCCATACAATGCCTTTTTTAAGTTTGTAGACTTTATCACCTTCGCCTTTTACCTCAAAACCTGGGGGTTGTTCGACATAAACTTCTTCTTCAAGTAGACCATTCAAGAATGCGCTTTTCACGTCCATTTGATAAACGGTGAAATCTTTGTGTGCGGCGTAGGCTAGGAAAATTCTGATTGCTTCAAGTCTGGCTACCGGTGCAAAAGTTTCGTCAAAATCTATTCCTCCTTCTTGAGAGTATCCTTTTGCAACGAGCCTTGCTTTATTCCTAACAATCACGCCTTCTTCGTTTGCTTTGTTCCGGAAGAACTATTTGGTTCCTACAACATTGTGGTTCGTCGGTCTTGGAACAAGTTCCCAAACACCATTTCTTTTGAATTGATCGAACTCTTCTTGCATAACATCTATCCAATTCGGATCATTAAGAGCTTCGTCTACTTCTTTTGGTTCAATTTGAGATAGAAACACATGAACAATGCTTCCATAGTAGATGATCTTGTTTTCACGCCTTCATGTACATTCCCAATAATTAATTCTGGAGGGTGATTTTTGAGCCATCTTAAATCTGGTTCAAATGGGTGCATGGTACTGGGTGGATCCATTTGTTGTGTACTGGCTGTGTTGGTTCGAATTTCCTTAATTAATTCACCTTGAAATTGATCACCAACTTCGCCTGTAATTTGATCACTAACTGGATCACCAACTTCAACCCGTACTGCATCTCGATTCTCACGTGTAGCTTCACCTCCAAAATTATTATTAAAGAAATTTCCAACTTCTTCTGGATGAGGGATGGGATTTTCTAGAGAATTAATTTCCAACTCATCCATTCCCTACAAAACATCATCTATACACGTATCATTAGTATCACAAAAATCAATATGACACTTGTTACCATTTTGTGCAATTTCTTCGCCCAGAGCGCCATTATTGATCTGTGATTTTTCGTCGAATACAACGTGTATGGATTCTTCAACCACCATTGTTCTTTTATTCAAAACTCTGAACGCCTTGCTGGTAGCTGAATATCCTAGAAAAATTCCTTCATCTGCACGCTCATCAAAAGCTTTTAGATGCAATTTATCATTAATATGAATAAAGCATTTGCATCCAAAAATATGAAAATAACCAATATTTGGTTTTCTCCCTTTATAAAGCTCATATGGCGTCTTCTTGTACTGCTTATGGATCATGCTTTGATTTTTCGTGTAGCAAGCAGTGTTGATAGCTTCCGCCCAATATCATTTCGGGAGACCGGCTACACTAATCATCACTCGTGCGGCTTCTTTGAGCGTCCGATTTCTTCTTTCGGCAACACCGTTTTGTTGCGGTGTTCTTGCAGCAGATAATTGATGAGAAATTCCATGTGAATTTCAAAAAACTTGTATAACTCCATTCACGAACTCGGTTCCACGATCCATTCGTATTTTTTATATTTGCAATTCTTTCGCATTTTGTAGTTGCTTCAACAGCTTCGGTAGAACTTGCTCAACTTCATTTTTCTTCTTAAGAAACACAGTCCAAGTGTACCTAGAAAAATCATCAACAACAACGAGTGTATATTTCTTACCACTTACACTTATTGGATCAACTGGTCCAAATAAGTCCATATGTAGTAAGCTTAGCTGTCTTGACGTTGACTCGTGTGTCTTTGATTTGAATGATGATTTGATTTGCTTTCCGCGTTGGCATGCATCACACACTTGGTCCTTTTTGAAGATAATATCTGGCAAGCCTTCAACTAGATTCTTCTTCGCAAGTTGATTCATAGTCTTGAAGTTTAAGTGGTTGAGCTTTCTATGTCATTCCCAATTAGCTTCATTCGAATTTCTGACCATTAAGCACACTGAATCTTTGCTTGTACTCCAGTCAACAACATACATGTTCTTTCGTCTTTTTCCAGAGAGTACTACTTCATTTGTGAGCTCATTTTTTATTAGGCAATTATCTTTAGAAAATTCTACAAGATAGCATTTATCACAAAATTGACTAGTGCTCAACAAATTGAATTTCAAGCCTTCAACGAATGAAACATCTTCAATTTTTAATCCATTTTTCTTGATCGTGCCAACTCCTTTTGTAATTCCATAATTTTGATTTCCTCCGAATATAACTTTTGTTCCATCGATTTCTTTGAAATTCACTAGATATGATTTATTTCTAGTCATGTGGCGTGAGCAACCATTATCGTTGTACCAAACATCCTGCAAAAAAGATTAATTAACTTTAGGTACCCATACTT